TTTAGGGAACTTGTTAGTTATATGTAAACCTCAAAGCAAGACAGGCAGATGATAATGAGACAAAATGGATCATTTTAAATACCTCTTTTTGTTTACTTTTGAAGTTGCAATTTTTCAAAGATACAAAAGTATCTTCTGTCAATTCAAGAGCTATTGTTGTAACTGAATTAAAAAGATAATTTGAAACCTACATTTATAAACACTTGAAATACCATTTAGAATTTATTAAGTATGTAATATTTTGGGCTTATAGGAGTCTAATGGACTCTTACACATTCTGATTCGATTACACTGGTTTGGTTCTCCAAATACTGCTATTCTTGCAATAGCTCTGTAAATATTGCCACACTATGCAAAACTAACCACACTTCAGCTGGTCAAACTACCTCAGGTCACTGAAGAAGTGACTACGTAAAAAAAATAATTTTTAAGAAAAAAAAAAAATGCCAGACTGAAATGACTAAATCCTTGCAAGCTCTGTCTTGTTTTGGACTCTCTTTGGCTTAATACATGTTTGCATGACTGCTGATATGGTCAATATCAAGCACACTCCCTGCATTGTTCAACCTACCTCAGGAAATCATCTATAACCAACACCACTCGCTGTGAAAACAATAAGCCTGAAAGTCAACCCAATACTCAAAATGTTAAATAAAGCCCCAAACATATAGTCCTGTTTATGTGAGGTAAATGAATTCTTACTGACCATCATCATTAACAGTGTAAAAAGAATTTGATTTGATTAGTATATTTCAGCATTATGCTGATGGCCAGCTATAGCTAAATTGATTGTGAAGGCTGTCTGTGAGCTTCCTGTTTTGCAAGTGTGCTTAATGGACCATAGTTGTTTGAAGTTTCCACTCTTGAGATAGAGACTAGTATTGGCAAAACTGCCTCAGACGTATCAAAAGGAATAGAGGACCTTCTTAAAAGGTAAAAAATATATTACATTTTGCCCAGACATCAGTTTTTTGAATGAACATACTTGCAGTGGACTCAAAAACTTATTCTAATATATTTGTTGATTATGTGTCTTTCATTGGACAATGGATTTTGAAAAACTTTATACAATTATGAGTTGTCTTTTTCTGGCTCATGCATTTATCCAAAGTATTAACTATAATAAAATATTGAAGCAATAATTCTTATATAAATTGCCTTCAAAAATCATACAAAACAATAACATAATTGACAAAAAAAGGCTTGCTCGTGTGTGTGTGTGTTTGTGTGTGTGTGTGTGTGTGTGTGTGTGTTTTACCGGAAGATGGCAATATCCGAAATCCTTGTCCTTGTGGGGACATTTTTTTTGGTCCCCATGAGGAAAATAGTGATGTTTTTTGAAAATATAAAAATGCAGAAAGTTTTCTGTGGCTATAGGTTAAGGTTTAGCAGATAGAATATACATTAGGCTATAAACATCATTATGTATATGGAATGTCCCCATAAAACATGGAAGCACGCGCACACGTGTGTGTGTGTGTGTGTGTGTGTGTGTGTGTGTGTGAGAGAGAGAGAGAGAGAGAGAGAGAGAGAGAGAGAGAGAGAGAGAGAGAGAGAGAGCTTTTATCTTTTATTTTACTTGTTTAATATTATTAGTTTTATAAGTGTTTATAGCCCAAGTTAACCTTATCAACATCATGAAGATACTGTACTCTGTATTTTGTTCATTCTTATCATAAATAATAGTCATCTTGTGATAATCATACACTTCGTAAACTGTTGCGATATGGATCTGGCTAATGTAGGTCACATTACTCAATAGGCTGCTGTCATTGCAACATATTGACCATCTACTGTGACAGCAATAGAGCATGACAGCTTCATAAATGTTTAAAACCCACAAATGACTGATTGGTATTGAATGCTCTGTGCCATAATCTTTAACACCAATGCCTTGATCTCGCTTTTATGAACAGGGTTCCCACTCATTTTGACCATTGATTTTCCATGTTTTACAGACATTCATGATTATGGGGTAATGTTTTCTAAAAAAATAATTTCAAAGTGATTACACTCATCAACCGAAATTTCTAACACAATTGGAAAATTCATCATTTTCCCGCCATTTCCCTGATATTTTTCCATTCATGAAGATTTCTACCTAATTTAAATCAGTGGGTTTCTACCTATTTGCATGTAGATTATAAAAGTGTAAACTTGACAAGCTAAGGGGAAGGGAAAGGACAGGCCAGATTCAAGCCTGCATCTCCATGAGCCATTATGTTACAATATGAATTACCGACTGTGCCACAACTCAAGCAGCAGTTTCCTTGTTGTGCCACAAGTAGGCTAAGCAAAGCCTATTAGACTTGCAAAAATGTGACAAACTAACAACCTCCTTATATCTAAATGTGTGAAGACCGTAGCACTTCAAAATGTATTTATAATATTTATAATCCTACAGTGGCACTTGTCTATGCAAAATAATAAAGCAAAGGAAATAACAAACCGCGCGTCATCGGGTCGACAGGCTATCTAAAATTGGGTGACGCTCTTCTCCCGCCTCTATCGCAGCTCTCACCCTATGGCAAGCCGGCTTAACATTTAATCATTTAAACCTACTAGTATCTATTTTCATGCTACTAGTACTTATTTTTTAGATACTAGTATCTATTCAATTAAGTACTAGTACTTATTCATTAGCTACTAGTGCTTATTCTTTAGGTACTAGTGCCTTTTCTTTAGATACTAGACTAGTGCCTTTTCTTTAGATACTAGTGCTTATTCTTTAGGTACTAGTACCTTTTTAAAGATACTAGTACTTATTCATTACTAGATACTAGTCCTTATTTATTAGATACTAGTGCTTATTCATTAGTTACTAGTACTTATTCATTAGATTATAGTGCCTATTAAATTGGTACAAGTACTATTCATTACTACTTATTCATTAGTTACTAGTACTTATTAGATACTAGTACTTATTCATTAGATACTAGTACCTATTATATAGATACTAGTACTTATTCGTTAGATACTAGTACGTATTTCAATAGTGACTAGTAACTATTCTTTTGTTACTAGTAACAAATTGATTTTTTTGCCATTGACTTATATGGGGACCTGTCATTCATATATCAACTATTCAGTTCTGACTAGTATGTATTCCAATTGTGACTAGTACATATATATTAGGTACTAGTACTTATTTTTTAGATAGTGCCTATTACTATATACTAGTATTTATTCAATAAGTACCTATTTATTAGATAGTAGTATCTTTTGTAATTGTTATAGTAACTATTCTTATCTTACTAGTCAAAACTGCTTTTTTGACTTTATGTTATGACTAGTCAGAACGGCCACTGTAGAGTTCAATTAAAAATCTTACTAGTAAAATAAAAAATCTTAACATTTGGAATAAATACTAGTATCTAATAAATAGGTACTAGTATCTATTTAATAACTAGCTAATGAATAAGTACTAGTATCTAATGAATAAGTACTAGTATCTATTTGTTATGAACAATCAGACACAGATCCAAACGCAGCGTAGGTTTATTTACAGGATAGTCAGACAGGCAAGGGTCACAGACAGCAGACACAGCATAGGAGACAAGGCTAAATCACAATCCAAATACCAGGCAGGAGAACAGAGGCAGGTAGCAGATGACACGAGATCCAGGGAACAGGCAGAAGGTCAATGGGCAGGCAGCAGACAATCGAGGAGAAGAGGATTCAGCAAGGGTCGTAAACACAGACGGGCAATCAAACTAGGAAACGCTCAGAAGCAGACTTGGAATCAAGACTAGATATCAGACTGGATTACAGACTAGGAGACGCTAGGAATTGAACACAACAGTGAGTCATACCTTCATTCAAGACTTCGCAATGGGTGATAGTGACAGTGAGGTATAAATGTGTGTGGAGCTGTGTGTGGAACTAGATGCAGGTGGGAGAGTGATCAATGGAAACAGGTGTGTGCGTGATCAGTTCAGGGTGTGTGCGTAAACAGTCCAAGGAAAAGCAGTTCAGAAGTGGAGTGCCCTCTCATGGCATTCGAGGGCAATCCAGCCGATCATCGTTACACTATTGAATAAGTACTAGTATCTATTTAATAGGTACTAGTATCTATTTAATAGGTACGTATCTATTTAATATGTACTAGTATCTAATGACTTAGTACTACTAGTATTTATTGAATAAATACTAGTATCTAGTAATAGGTACTAGTATCTAAAATATAAGTACTAGTACCTAATGAATCTACTAGTATCTAATATATATGTACTAGTCACAATTGGAATACATACTAGTCAGAACTGAATAGTTGATATCTGAATGACAGATCCCCATAGAAGTCAATGGCAAAAAAAAAAAAAAAAAAATTGTAACTAGTAACAAAAGAATAGTTACTAGTCACTATCGAAATAAGTACTAGTATCTAATGAATAAGTACTAGTATCTATTTAATAGGAAATAGTATCTAATGAATAAGTACTAGTATCTAATAGTAATGAATAAGTACTAATATCTATTAAATAGGAACTAGTAGCCTATCTAATGAATAAGTACTATATCTAAAAATAAGTACTAGTAATGAATAAGTACTAGTATCTAATGAATAAGAACTAGTATTTAATGAATAAGTAGTATATTTAAAAAGTTACTAGTACCTAAAGAATAAGCACTAGTTTCTAAAGAATAGGCACTAGTCCTAAAGAATAAGCACTAGTAGCTAATGAATACGTACTAGTACTTAATGGAATAGATACTAGTATCTAAAAAATAAGTACTAGTAGCATGAAAATAGAGACTAGTAGGTTTAAATGATTAAATGTTAAGCCGGCTTGCCATACACCGCTGGGATGATCTGCCAGTGCCTTGCACGCGCGCCATGGCTGATTATTTCCTGCGCGCTCATTGCTGGAACACTTCGCTCTCGTGCTCTCCCATTGGCTCTCAGGATGGGTTACCGTGAACCAATGCGCGCAGAGGCTCGATGTGCCGGCTGAACGCTCGCTTTACTTTTGCAGTACAGCTGGACCGCGAAGGGGGCGTGCCGGTGCCGCAGCAAACGACTGTTCGTCAGCGGGTTTTTAGTTATGGTGGTCGTCACGTTTTTAAATGAAGTTTAAAAGCACGTAGGCAAAACCTTTACTTGTTTAAACTATAGCAGAACAAACGTCTGTCGTTTGGGAAACAAACCACGGGGTTTCAATGAATTGCACCAGGTAAGAATACAGAGTGCGTCATAGGGGGTTTATCACTTATCACTGAGCGCTGGAAAAGATTACCTCTGAATATCACTTATAATTTAGATTCAATTTAAAATATATTTTTTTATTTAATTAAATTATTATTTGGACATTGCCAATGTTAAGCTGTTCTTACTAGTATATATGTTTATGTTACTAGTATTTTTCTTTATTGATAGTAAAATTGTAATAGCTGGTGATAATTGGTTAACTGTCTTTTTCAATTCCTCTGTGTATAGATATTTGTAAATGCATCAGAGACTAGTAGGCTATTTGGTCCAAAAGTGACTACTAGCCTGCTACTAATCTATTTGTCACTATACTTCATATGTCATTTACTACTACTACCCTATAGTCACAAGGTAACTATTATATTCTATTCTTTTTTTTAAAACTAATTTTACCATGTGAATTCTATGGGGTTTCATACAGATTTCACTTTTATTCACTTTTGTCTAGACTAGTATTGCATAATTATGTTGTTTAAGTATGGGTACTTACTTATTCTTTCTAGTACATAATCTAGTTTCTAGTCTCTGTTATAGCTTTACTACTTGTTAGATACTTGTACCTGTTTATGAGACACTGTCTATCCCAAATGTAACCAGTAATATTTCTTATTTGAAGTAATGACTAGCCAGATTGCCTACGTTATAGGTAAAAATCACTGTCTATCCCACATGTAACCAGTAATATTTCTTATTTTAAGTAATGACTAGCCAGATTGCCTATGTTATAGGTAAAAAAACAAAACAAAAATGTAACTAGTAACAATTGAAATACACACTAGTGTCTAACAAGGTACTAGTGACTTGTAGTGAAAACTGGAATCGATATTTTAGTTTTGTGTGTTTTATACTTTGTTGCTTTTGGATTTATCCCAATTCTTAACTATACATCTGGCATTTTGTCATATATTAAAAATAAATATTTTAAATATTTATAATTTGAAAAGCTTAAACCAACAGCTATGGCTCAATTTTTTTTTTTTAATTGCTTAATCTAGCTGGACAATAGTGGTTTTGTTTACTCAATCTCTTAATTCTGGGCAAATCTTTATGTGACTGTCACATCTCCTGCTTAATTGGTCACTGTAATGTTTTTCACCATTGTCTTCATGACAGGGTTCTGCAGATACTGAACCCCAGGCCAATGCCAAGTCCAATTATGCCTGTGGATGTGGCAATGAGAATCTGTCTGGCACACTCACCGCCTCTTCGCAGTTTCCTCAGTTCATATGAGGACTGCAAGTCCAGGTACTTAGTCAACCAGTACAAACCTCTGCGATCCTGCATCAGCTCCAAGACCGACGTGAACACTGCCAACCTAGGATGGAAGAGTCCCGAGACCAAAGCTAAAAAGAAAGTGGTTTTTGCTGACTCCAAAGGCATGTCTCTGACAGCAGTCCATGTGTTTAAGGAATTCGAGGAAGACCCCATGTTAGATCTGCAGTTTGAATTATCAGACCTGGAGGATGCCATTGTGGGCCTAAAGGCTGAGGAGAAGGAGAAGAATTTGATTTTGGACTTTCCTCAGCCTGCCGCAGACTATTTGGACTTCCGAAACAGTCTAAAGAAGAACCTGGTATGCTTGGAAAACTGTATAATTCAAGAGAGATCACTCACCGGCATGGTCAAAGTGATCAATGTAAGCTTTGAGAAGGTCGTCCATGTGCGAATAACATTTGATTCATGGAAAAGCTATGCTGACATTCCTTGTACATACATGAATAATGTTTATGGCTGCGAAGATGTTGACACCTTCTCGTTTTCCATCGACCTTCCAAGTTCTGTGGCCTCACATGAGCAGGTGGAGTTCTGCATATCCTACAAAACACATGATACGACATTCTGGGACAATAACGACGGGGAAAATTACAAGCTGGTACATACAGAGAACGACCCCAGTCAGGCCAATGTCACCCAAACGAAGACAACAGATTTTAAGAATCAAGGCAAACGGCCAGAGATGGAGTTTGATCAGTTCGGGAGCCCGAGAACATCTAGTGGATTCTTCCCCGAGTGGCAGAGCTGGGGTCATATTGAGAACACTACCCCCTACTGGTGACAGTTCAAGACCCTCTGACAAATTTGAAGTAAATCTTGTAACAAGGGCAAATGCAAATGGAGCGCTTGGTTCGTTTCAAAATTGACTTATGAAAAGTCTGAAGAGTAGAAATTAGCAATGACACCCTCAAAAGAAAACTCTTTTTGGCCATGTTTGTCCAAATTATTTCATTGTTGGTGTATGTTTTTGAGATACACGTTTAGCTTAAAATTAGATGTTTGGGCTCTGAAATGATGCAAATTTGAGACCATGTTAAACATATGGCAGTTACTCAGAATGAAAAATGTTGGTTTATGTTATTTGTCTAAATTTGTAGCACACTATGTACGCTATTCTGTAGATCTGACATGAGGTAAACCAATAATTTTCATAACATAGATGCCTTCCTTTGTGTTTTTCTGTGATTAACTGTAATACAATGGCATCATTTCGGATATCTTTACATATGTCCTTGTATAAAGTGAACAAACTTACTCTGAAATAGATTCTTCAAAACACTATTTTGTCACCTTGAAGGGTAAAAATTTTGTTGTTACCCATCTGAAATCACTGAATTTTGGGAATCCTGCTTCTGAAATGTAACTGGACATAAATATGTAATTTAAGTCATCCTTAAAAGGATGGAAGTTCTGTCATTTACTCAACTTCATTTCATTCCAAACCTGTATGCATTTCTTTCTTCTAACACAAAAGAAGATAAAATATAATGATATATAAAGAAAGTAAATGGGGTAGAATATTGTTTTGGACCCCACTGACTCTCTTTGTCATTATATGGATAAAAACAGTTCTTCAAAATATCTTCCTTAGTGTTCCACCGAAGAAAAAAAGTTGTAAAGGTTTAAACGACATAAGTGCGAGTAAATGATGACAGAATTTTCGGTGAACCAATTTTGGGTGAACTGTCCCTTCAAGAGCAGCACTGCATAAAACATGTTATTCTTATATTATGGAAGTGGAATAATCTGGTACAATATGAGATTGCTTCATATTGAAGTTTGTGTATCTCATTTGATAGTACCAGTTTATCGGTCACTTTTTAGTGAATGCACTAAGCATGATGCATTGTAAGGGAGTCCATGAGAGATAATGATGCCCATTAAGTGCTAAATCCCTGCTGTTGCACTTCCGATTTTTCCTACGTCTGATCTACTTTTTTAAAGCTCCACTCTTGATGTATTTTACACTTCTTTCCTACAACATTTTTGCTGCTATGGTTTTTGTGTGTGCCTGTGTGTGCTGCATTGTGATTAATGACCTGTGGTGTGTGGAAACTCTCCAGTGTTATTTGGAGAATAGAAGATGAGGGACTTTTGGATGTAACTTTAAGGAGGTCGTAGTATGTGAGGAAGAGTGGCTAAGGAGAACGATAATATTGAATGAGATTGTTGCCTTTTTCATGATTATGTCCCCCCTTTCACTGAAATATAAAATTCGGTTGAGGTTGACGCCTTGAACAAAGGTGATGGTGGACTGTGATGAACCGTAAGCTGCTGTAATTGCGGAGAGGGATCATGTAGGTTGAATGTAAAAAGGGGCCTATACAAGCCACAGTGTATGCCTACATATTTTCCTACTGCAAAGAAAGATGTTTGTTTGAAAGAATGTTGTACTATACTCTGTGTTCCTGTTAGAAATAAAGCCTAATGTTTCTATGATGAATGAACTTCTGTTTTTTTTTTGTAAATATGGCATGTTTTACTTCCACTTCTTCAGAATAATACCATCACTTCAATATCGGAGTGAAATATAAGACGACTCAGAATATACGAATATTAACTTCCAGGCCTCTGGTTTAATGACTGTAAATGTTATGTTTTGGTTTGTATCTGCATGTTTTAACATTTTAGGCTCTATCAGTCCTGAATGTGAGGAATAAATAGCTGTTTGCCTCAAAAAGGAGAGAGAGAAAAAAAGGTGTCTGTCTACTAGTGAGCAGACTGCCAGTTAGCACAAATTTATTTAAATGAATGTAGAACACTCTTCCAGTGACAAATTGAGTGCTGTTAAGATCGCTGACAAACATTTGCTCCCATAGCTAGGGGAAGTTCAGCTGGAAATAAACCAATTGTTTACTCTTGATATACACAATCATTTACCAGATGTTGTATAACATGATGTTTTTTTGTGGGAGAATGTCAGTGCTGCCTGTATGCTGTTTAGCCAAATGTTTAGTTTTGGTATTGATGTTCAGTAATTTACATTCTTGTCCGGATATGATTTGCCTACTAATTTGACTAAAAACGGAATCCTGTTAGGTTTTTTAAGTCTCACCCTGCACATTAAAAATTATATACCTAGTTGAAATATATAAAGTAGGGTTAAAAAGTCTGAGACCACAATTTAAATCTGGGATTTAAAATCGAATTTAAACCTAGAAGTAAACTAGGAGAATATTTATTTTAGATTCTGTAGCACTATGGGCCCTATCTTGCACTCGGTGCAAATGACTTTGTACACTGACGCATGTATCATTCCTATTTTGCACCCGCGCAAAGCGGACTTTTCCCTCCACAGACGCACGTCGGTTAACTAAGAAATACACTTGCGCTCCCCGGGGCGGTTCAGCGCAAAGAGGAGGCGTGTTCCGGCGCAAACTTTCCCTCATGCTATTTTGCTGTTCTATAAAACAATTGCGCCACTGACCAGAAAAAAAAATAGTCTAAAGTCAGTGGCGCGTTGCGCGTTGTTCATTATGCTATTTTAAGGGCGCATGCTTGGCCATAATCAATGTAGCGTGTGCACAACGCGCATACACGTTGATTCTCTCATCTAAGCAGCAGTTTTCATTTTTGCAAATCATACATTATTACGATAGATAGATAGATAGATAGATAGATAGATAGATAGATAGATAGATAGATAGATAGATAGATAGATAGATAGATAGATAGATAGATAGATAGATAGATAGAAAGATAGATAGAAAGACAATTTATTATAAAAGCATGTAGCTTACACATTTACCCAAATTATCATACGCCTGTTTAACAGAAGTTAATTTGGGTGGGTTTCTCCATCCCCAATGTCACTTCTCTGACGAGAACGTTGCTCTCCTCGGCTGTGAACTGCTCCTGGCGTGCGCCTGGCAAATCCGCCGTTATAATAGGAATCCGCTTTAGAACAAGCGCACCTGCTCTTAAAGGGAATGTGAGATGACGCTCTGATTGGTTTATTTCACGTTACGCCCAAACCACACCTATGAATAATGAAGCTACATCAGACCAACCCCTTTTAGATTTGCGCCAGGCGCAAGAGGCATTTATCCCGCCGGGAAAATAGCTACAGCGCCGGGATCCGCCCACAAAGTTACTTGCGCTTTGCGCTTTGACACTTGCGTTTCAGATCGTTAAAATAGGGCCCTATGTCTCACTAATCAAATAAGTACATTTGTGACATTGATCATGTGACTCTTTGATAAAGACAGATGTTTGAGGTAAGAAGACTAAAGTCATGCTGGAGTACACAATGATCAGGTTTTATACAAACTTGTGGGGTTCATCCATGCAGCTCCTGCTGCTGTCATTAAACTTGCTGAAAAACTAGCTTAAACCCTGCTGAAAAATTCTGCATTGCTGGTCACCAGCATAAGGTATGTTTTGCATGCTAGGACCAGCATGGGATAATGGCTACTGGTTTGCTGGTCACCAGCATGGGGAGCGAGAGTGCTGGTGAACCAGTTACATCAGCTCAGTTTTGCTTGAAAACATGCTTGTCCACCTGCTAGAACAACACTACACCAGCTCTATCCTGGACCAACATGGAATTCATACTGGATTTTTCAGCAGGGAAGACAATGTTAATTTATTAATTCAACCTTTCACTGAAATTGCACTACAGATACTATATGGCCAATTTTTTATAATGCTAAATATGTTGCAATTGCATAATTGTCACATGCATCACCTCATCAAACCAATAAGCAAAATCTGTGGTGTCAGGATGTATTTTTATTCTTGAAATCAAAAAAGAAGTTGCAGAGCTTTATCGTCAGTTAGTAACTCAAAATTATGTGAAGTCATAACCCTAGAGGGCTTACTATTCTACAACATGTTTGAACCAAATTACAAACGAGCAGCAAAGCATTGTTTCACAATCATGGTATTGTGTTCAGTGTAGGTGATGCAGTAATTTAAATCGTGTGGTACAAGAAAAAGAACACTATGGGGAGGCAGTCTGTGGAAAAAGGCCCTTTCAGTAAAGTGCTGGCACTGTGCTCTATTACAGGCTTCTTCCATTAGAAGCATCACAGCAAACCAGACTTCAGCCATTAAACCAGAGCTGCTGAATCTCATGATCCAGAATCATTAAACTTCTGTCACAAGATGGAACAATAATAGTTACTTTATATTGTATTCAAATAAGTGGTATAGAATATTAGCATTGTTATAGGGTATTGCGGTGTAGAGGTTAAAGCTCAGGGCTAAAAGCCAGAAGGTTGCTGGTTGGATTAACATAAGGATTGACCTATGAGTTGTTGCCATGTGCCCTTAAACAATCACTTTACACTAGGCTGAGGGGAGATAATCCTCATAATAAATTTGCTGTAAGATTATCCTCGTAATAAGTCTGTTGTAAGTCGCTTTAAATAAAAGCAACTGCTAACTAAATTAACTTTACTATAGGGATCACAATTGTCTAAAGTCACAAATTGTTTCTTCAACACAATAGAGTCCTAATTCAACATAATTCACTGCAGCCTTCATATTGTTTGCAATAACTTTTCAATGAAAAGCATTAGTCGGATGATTGACAGTGCTTTAAGCTAATTATATGGGTTGATTACCGAAGTACAGACATGATTAATGACAAGCCCTCCACATTACATTAACTACTCCTGTCATTCTCATCCTATCGTTCTGACATGTTGCTACCCTGATATATTCTCGAGGGTATTTACCTGACAATTTTATAAAAGACTACAGATCAGTCTGTTGATTTAACAGTAAAACACCACCATTAGCACCTATTTATCTAAGCCTCTTTATTAACACACAAATTTGGTCTAAACTGTATGTAGAATAATGATTCAAATAATGAATGCTAAGGTATATTAGCATGTGGGTGGTTGACGTGAACTCAAATCCAAAGTGGAAAAAAATATATTTCTAAAATGTATGTCAAATCACATATAATTATATTGCTTAATATGTGAAAAACTCAAAACTGAATGTGTCCCGTTCTAATTCCTTATTTATTTAGCATTTTATTAACTTTTTTTGTGTGGTAGTCCCACATATTGTCCACCGGTGTGACAACATTTTTAATGTTAATATTTAATTCAGAGATTGTGTGAGAGATAAGACAAATATGCACAATCCTTATCAATTTGTCCTAACTATATTCCCACATCAAAAGTAACCAATAAAAATTCACAATCATGTTATTATACTACTATAAGATGTACACATAGGGACTTTACCCAAACGTCTGGATTATATTCATTATAATTAGTATAAAACCTAATGAAACTTCATTCCATCCTTATATGTGCATAGTGATGATATCATTATTATACTATTCAACACTTTTTACATTAATTTGTGCATTAAAATGCCTTTTCCACTTATAATTCAGTTTGTCACACCACAGGACATTCCGTCACACCATTGGACAACAAAAAGTACCGGTACACCCCCTTGTTTTGTACAAAGTCACATTAATTATTTCTTGTTCAAATTCATTTCAAAATTCATTAAAATAAAGTTACAAAT